TTATAGCCGCACACCCTCCTTGTACCAGTACCATTATAGCCACTGCGGGCTGCTAGACGCCACACCCTGTTTGTGCCATTCTAGCAGCTGCGGGCTTCTAGCCTGCACCCTCTTTGTACCATTGTTCACCACTGTTTGTGGGCTCTGCCGCCACACTCTGTTCGCGCCATCATTGCCGCTGCGGGCTACCAGGCCACACCTGTTATATCACCACTGCGGGCTGCTCGCCGCCGCACCATTATAGCCGTTGCGGGCTGCCCGGCCCGAACCCTCTTTGTACAAATATAACCACTGCAGGCTGCCGGCACACATCCTTTTTGCACCGCTACAGCCGCCACACTGTGTTTGCGGCCGCTGGGGGCCTGCCAGCCCGCACCTTCTTCTTTGTACCATTATAACCTCTGCGGGCTGCTAGCCGCCACACCCTGCTATCCCGTACCCTCTCTGTACTGTACCATTATTCACCACTGTGGGCTGCTGGCGCCAAACCCTGTCTGTGCCATTGTAGCTGCTGGCTGCCAGCCCGCACCACCATTTTACCACTGTAACCACTGCAGGTTTCTCGCCGCCACACCCTGTTTGCGCCATTGTGGGCGCTGTGGCTGCCAGCCCACACCCTCTTCGTACCATTTTTAACCACTGCAGGCTGCTAGCCGCCACACTCTGTTCGCGCCATTGTAGCCGCTGCGGGGTGCCAGCCCACACCCTCTTTGTACTTATGATAACCACTCCGGACTGCTATCCGCCACACCATGTTTGCGCCCTTCTGGCCGCTGCAGGCTGCCAGCCCGCGCCCTCTTTGTACCATGCCCGGCTTATAACCACTGTGAGCTGCTACCGCCACACTTTCGGTTTGCGCCATTGTAGCCGCTGCGGGCTGCAAGCGCCGCTGCGGGCTGCAAGCCCGCACCCTCTCTATGTCATCATTGTGAGCACCACTGCGGACTGCTATAGGCGCCGGCACAAAGAGGGACGGCTCGCAACGGCTGGTACAAAGACGGTGCAGGCTAGCAGCCCGCAGCGGCAACAATGACACAAACAGGGCGTGGCATCTGTCAGCCCACAGTTGTATTCGTGGCGCAAAGAGGGTGCACGGAACAGCCCGCAACGGCTGGTACAAAGACAGTGTGGGCTGGCAGCCTGCAGCGGCTAGAACTAGAACTGGGTGCCACATCCTGTTTGCGCCCTTGTAACCGCTGCGGGCTGCCAGCCGGCACCCTGTTTGTACCTACATAACCACTGTATAGGCTGCTAGCCGCCACACCCTGTCAGCCCACACCCTCGTTGTACCATTGTTCATCACTGCGGGCTGCTGGCGCCACAACCTGTTTGCGCAAATTCACACAGCCATAGCCACTGCAGGCGCCAGGAAACTCCTACATCCCTTAATTTAAGGAATATATTCCTTAAATCATATTAAGGATCCTCATATGATTTAAGGTAAATTCCCTAATTATGGGACATTGGTGTATCTGGGTGTCTCGCTGCCACACCCTGTTTGCACCATTGTAGCCGCTGCTGGCTGCTAGCCCAAACCCTCTTTGTCCCACTCCACTGCAGGCTGCTCGCGGCTGCGCCATGGTATAGCTGCTGCGGGCCGCCAGCCCGCACCCTCTATGCACCATTGTAACCAATGCGGGCTGCTTGCCGCAACACCCTGTTGTGCCATTGCAGTTGCACTGCAGTTGCTGCGGGCTGCCAGCCCGAACCATTTTTGTACCAATAACCACTCCGGGCTGCTAGCTAGACGCCACACTCTGTTTTTTGCGCCAATACGGCGGGCTGCCAGCCCGCACCTTGTCCCTCTAAAGCGCCTGCAGGTTGCCAGCCGCCGCACCCTGTTTGCGCCAGCCGGCACCCGTTACACAACCACTGCAGGCTGCTCGCCGCCACACCATTATAGCCACTGCGGGCTGCCCAGCCCGCACTCGCTGCCGGAACACACCCTTTTGTACTACTACTACTACTACTACTACTACAACTACTACTTCTGCTACTGCTACTACTACTACTACTACTACTACTACTACTACTACTACTACTACTACTACTACTACTACTGCTAGTCCTACTACTAGTACGACTAGTACTACCAGTGCTACTAATGTTACTACTGCTACCACCACTACTCATTTTCATTCATTCACGGCGTTCGTGTCTCGTCAGACGCTCGCCTAGCTAGA